TCTCTGAGCCTCAAGTTTCCTCATCTGTAAAACAGAGGTAGGAATCCTTACCTCTTGGGTATAGCAGAGCTCCAAAGCTCTCCTCATGGTGCACAGCACACACAAGCTATTCATTCACTAAGCACAATTGTTGAGGTCCTACTACGTGCCAGTTGCTGATGAATCCGTCAGGGAAGAGAACAGATAGATATCCTTGCCTTCAAGGAGCTTACCTTTTATTAGGAGGAAACAGACATGTCAGAAACAAACCAATAAGTGATATCATACAGTACATGGTGAAAATAGAGAAAACTAAAGTGTGGACGGGGGGTGGGGGTGGGGGTGGCGGTGGGCAATGGCTGGGGCACTGGAAGGGATGTGGCTATTCTCCTCTCTTAAGAGGTATCCTCTTCTGTGGGTTTTCTCTTCTAGCGGTAGTCACATGTTCCTCCCCAACTGCAATCCTCTCATCTAACTGTGCCCATTTGTACTGAGACTGGGGTGTAGGTCATGGTGAGTGGTCAGAGCCACCATGAACACCCGCCCTTGGCTTGGGCCTGATTGGCTGTGAGATGTCCCCAGGGCCAGCCAGCTGCTGACCACACACCTGACCGTGTTCTTTGTTTCTTCTTTGGGATTCTTCCTTTCAACATCCTTCCCCTAAGTGGAGTTAAAAAAGACAAAATGTTTGTTTTAATCCAGCCTAACTAAAGGTGTAAACCTAGAGTTTCACTGGTCAAAGAGCCACTCAGTCGTTATTCCTAAAACTGAGCAAAAGCATTCCCTCTCCTTAACTGGATTTAAACTCCTCGAAGGCTGGGTCCCATCTCATTGAAACCTCCTCACAATGCATGATTTGCATATAAACAGCAGGTACAGCCCCCATAGTAGAAAGAGCTCAGGTTTTGGAGCCCAACACTGGTTTGGAATCCTGCCTGGGCAAGTGCCTTAGCCTCCCTGAGCCTCAGTTTCCTCATCATTAAAATGGGAATAAACTCCCATCTTGAAGGGTGGTTGTGAGGATCAGAGAGAACTTATCAGAAGTGCTAAGCACGGGCAGGCGTGTAACAGCCCCTCTGTGATACATGTGGTAAACTTTGTCCCCGTCCCTTCCCCCTTAGTGCTCCAGCCCAGAAATCACTAAGGAAACATGGAGCAAGGAATTCTTAATGATAGAACTCACCCAGTATAGCTCACCTCTTTCTTTTTCCCAAACTGCAACAGAAGAAAATCCCCACCTCTCTGGGAAATTTTTCAATAAATACATAAAATATGCTCAATCTTATGTTCAAAACATGAAACTGAAATTAAGGTATAGTTGTTTTCCCTATCAGATTGATAATAATATCCTGTTGATGAGCGTGTGCAAAAAATGTTCTATCATACACCTTTCTGGGGACTATAAAGTTGAACAGACTGATTAGAGGTCAATTTGGCAGTACATATCAAAGGTTAAAATGTTGATACTTCTTGGACCAAGGAATTCTACTTAAGGAATCTGCCCTTCAGAAATACCAGCACAGAAAATAAAGGATGTTCACTGAGCACTTTTTGTAATATCTGGACACTGGAAATGACTTTAATATCCATCAGTTGGATGTTGGTTAAATCCATGTGGTCCATCTGGACCATGGGATACCAACTCTGCAGCTATTAAAAAGAATGAGTGACTTTGGGGTGATGGAAATGTTTTGGAACCACATAGAGGTGGTGGTTACACAACATTGTGAATGTACTAAAGGCCACTTTAAAAATGGTTAATTTTGGGCTGGCCCTGTGGCTTAGCGGTTAAGTGCGCGAGCTCCGCTGCTGGTGGCCCAGGTTGAGATCCCGGGCGCGCACCAACGCACCGCTTCTCCAGCCATGCTGAGGCTGCGTCCCACATACAGCAACTAGAAGGATGTGCAGCTATGACATACAACTATCTACTGCAGCTTTGGGAAGAAAAAAATAAATAAATAAAAATCTTAAAAAAAAATGGTTAATTTTATGTTATGTGAATTTCACCTCAATAAGTTATTTTTTTAAAAAGACTGTGTCTTCTATACTAACATGGAGAGACATATTGTTGAGTGAAAAGACAAAACATTCTGTTTTCTGTGAATGTTAGCAAATGCATAGATAAAGTTTGGAAAGATCTAGAACAAACTTAATAGCAGTTACCTCTGGGAAGTGGATTTGGGAAAATGAGGGGATTTGTACTTAATTTTATATACTTTTGCAAGGTATGAAAATTTAACCTTAGCATAAATTATTTTCAAACTGGTGGTGGGAAAGGGGGAGTTTGAAGTTGCTCAGGGACTGAAAAGGTAACGAGGTGGGCGGTTGATTCTCTCAAGTGAAAGTGGAAAATGTGTTTCATTTTGAATCTTCTTCTTTGTGTTTTCCTCTCTTTCTGCTCTTTAACTCCTGCCCCTGCTGGCATCAGAACCGCAAACTGAGATGAGCGATGATGAGCGAGTTACTTGATGACTCACTTTGCTTGTTTTGACCTTTCTGTGCCTGAGGCTAATTGATTCTGAGAGCTGGGGTTCTGCAAGCATCAGTCTGGTCACTGTTTACAAGGGCCTATTTTTAAGAGATCACGAGGATTTGTGAGATAGTGAACTGCATCTGATGCAAGTACTTTCTTGACCAGGACAGGGCTGGTCCAGCGCTCTTGAGCTCATTAATGAGCCCAGGAGCTCACGATGCCTGTGCCAGCCTAAGGAGGTGTGTTGCTACTTGCAAACAGAGGTAGCTTCCTGCTTCCGTAAGGTTGTGGTAATACGCTGAAGCCCTTTGGAAATTTCTTTTTACATTTTTCATTTATTCATTTTTTTTGAATTATCAAAATTTATAAACCAGGATAAAAATCACCTATAATGTCATCAGGCAAAAACAATAGAGTTTTGTGGTGTTTCCTTTATATCTTTGCTCATGTGCATTTTTTTCATAATAATAAACAGTGTTCATATTCAGATTTTAATTCTGATTTATTTATTTATTTTTTTGTAAGGAAGATTCACCCTGAGCTAACAGCTGTTGCCAATCTTCCTCTTTTTGCTTGAGGAAGATTGTTACTGAGCTAATATCTGTGCCCATCTTCCTCTATTTTGTATGTGGGACACCACCACAGGATGGCTTGATGAGTGGTGTGTAAGTCCATGCCCAAGATCCAAACCCGCGCACCCCGGGCCACTGAAGCAGAGCGTGCAAACTTAACCACTACACCACCGGGCTGGCCCCTTAATTCTGACTTTAACTTACATAGAAGGGATTTTTGGTTGTTAAAGTTGTCTCAGAATTGTCTTAATGGATAGTTAATATTCCATCAAGCAGATGAATTATAACTTATTTAACAATGTCCTTATGTTGAATGGTTCTCTTAAAATTTTCTTTACTGTCTTAAATTTTATTGTTGAATCTCAAAATATTTGGAAGCTACCTTTAAATGTCTTAGTGATGACGGCTCATATGTCACATGCAAAATCAGTTCCTGCCCTCAGGAAGTTTATATTCAGAGCAGGTGACCAATAAGTATAATAAAATGTGATTGTTGCTATATCAGAGATAATCCTAATTGCTCAGAGAGAGTGGGAGAGTATTGGTGAAAGCTTCCTAGAAGAGGTGTCTGTGTCATATCCTGAGGACAGTTAGGAATTAGCCAGCTGGGGAATGAAAGAAAAGCATTCCAGGACGAGAAGACTGCTTGAAGGTAGCACAGAGGAGTGGTAAAACATGATACATTTAGGGACTGGCAGATAGCGTAGTAGGGCTGGAGAATAGGGGCTAATGGGTGAGTGGCAGGAGGTGATCCTAGATATAGAGACTGTAGTCAGATTATAAGAGGCCTTCTGTGCCAAACTGAGGAATTGGAACTTCACACTGAAGGCCACAGGCATGAAGGAACACTTGCTAAATAAGAATGTAGTTTTTGAGCACAGCAATACCTCATTGCTTTGGCAAAGTTGCCAGTAAGTGTGTTGAAATCCTCTAGGATGAAGGCTGAAGATGATGCACTCAGCTTTCTTCTTAATCATTTCTATTTGTTAAGAGAATGCACTGTGGTGGCATGTTTCAGCCACAAGGGTGGACTTTTGGTGGTTAGACCACCTGGAAGTTGACCGGGGCGTCTTTGGAAAATAATACTTCAGGGACAGGCATCATTTGCTGCCAAGATGGTATTTAGGATGTATATTAGTTGGTACTTTTTGAGTTGGCAGAACCCCAACTGAGATGAATGTAAACAGAAAGGGGAGTGGATTAGCCCCTTAGTCTAAGAGTGGCTCTTTCTAGCTTCAAGCACAGTGGGATCCAGAGGATCAAACAGTGTTGGTAAAGCTTGTCCCCTTCCTCCCTCCCTCCCTCGGTTGATCTCACTCTCCATCCTTCATTCTGTGTCCCTATATTCTCTCCTACAGCAGACTCTTCTATGTGATCAGAGAGAGTTGCTACAAGAAACTCCTGCTTATGTTATCTCTTGAGCTCACAACCCCAAAGGAATAAAGACTGTTCTGCTCTTTCTCCCATGAATCACAGCAAATTTCAGGGCATCATGTGTCCCTCTCTGAACAAGGGTGGTGGAGTACTCTGATTGGTCAGGTACCACCCAACTATGTGAGATGAGATGCCCAAGGATAGTGGGGTTCTGTTCCTAGAAGGAGGAGAGTAGGAGTACTGGCCAGAATTTTTTTTGAAAGGACATCCACTACTGTTAATCCTTTTCTTCTGAAGAGCGGATGTCCACCAGAAAAGAGTGGAGCCCATCGCTGTCTGAGAGCTGCCTTCATGCACATTCTTGTGCTGTATCCAGGTCTCACAGAACGGATATTCCCAGCACGTGTGTGAATGCGGCCCCTTGCCCAATTTTCCTTAGCACATAGGCTCAAGACAATGCCCCACTGCCCAAAGGCCTTGTGGCATTGTCCTCTCTTTCTTGCAAATGTCTGATTTATGTTCTGTCAGTGACAGGAAGCTGCTCCAGCGATCCACCAAGTCCTGCTGCTGCCCCAGTTACGGTTTGTTTTCTCATTGTTTAGCGCTCCATTAGCTTCCGCAGCGAGAGCCGTCCCGACCTCCTCACCTCCAGACCCTGGTCCAGAAATGCCACCCCCTCGAGCACCAAGCGAAGAGACAGCAAGCTGTGGAGTGAGACCTTTGATGTGTGCGTCAATCAGATGCTTACGTCCAAGGAAATCAAACGTCAGGAGGTAGGCTCAGGACCCCCAGAGTCGGCCATGTGTCTGGAACCAGGCGCACTGCAGGCAAGAGCCAAGCTGGGGTCTACACTGCGGTCTCTAACTCAATCCTTAATTGTATTTGTAGAAAGAGGATAAATGGGGGTGTCAAACCTTGTAAGGAACTGAGAAACTAGCATCCAGCTGTGGGTGTGGCCCCCACTTTAAAAGGAAACTGTTGTGAAAATCTGAATTTACAAAGAAGATGAATCAGATGAATTAGGATCCTGGAGTTCACAAAAATAATCACTTTAGTTATATTTTGATAGGAACTTCTAGAATATTTTAAAATATTCATTTTATGAAACTTTGATTCAGTTTTGCGGAAAACTTTTCTACGGAATGCTGTTAATTTCATTCCCTGAAAGTTTTCTGTATAAATAACCCTAAATGGCTATCATACTATTACCCTTTATAGAGAGCTTGTCATGTGCCCAGCTCTGCTAAGCACTTCAAATGTACATCATCTAGTGAAATCCTTGGAATATCTTTTTTTTGTGGAGAACTTGACATTGGCAAAAGGGGTACTTGAAAACTTTCTAGGTTTTTGACTCAGCAATTCTCTTCTAGGAATCTATCTGCCAGGCACAGCCATACACAGATGAAAAGATGTGTGTGTAAGGTTATTCATCACAGTAATGTTTATAATAGTGCTAAAAAGAGCCTGAACATCTATTACCAGGGACTGGTTAAATAATGAATGTCCATACATGGAATACTGTGCAGCTGCAGAAACACAAGAAGTGCTGCTATGTATGTATGGCTAGTGGATAAAGCAAGGCACAAAATAGGGTGTATAGTAGGCTACCATTTATGTAAAAGAAGAAGATGAATGTATGTGTGTGTATGTATGTGTCTGCTTATAGAAGCATAAAATGTTTCTAGAAGGCCACACAAAGAACTAGTAACATTGTTGCCTCCTGAAACAGATACTGGGTGGCTGGAAAAGGAGATGAGAGGGAAAGTTTTCCCCATGTGCCCATTCATGCACTGTAAATTTTGAACCATGTTCATGTATTACGTATTCAGAAATGAATGAATAAAGCATTTAAATATAGTTTGTACACTGAGAAAATCCTGTGAAGAAATATGGCAAAATCTTAACAATGGTTAACAAGATGGTATTATGGGTAATTTAAAATTGTCTTCTTTATCCTTTTCTGTATTTTCCCAAGTGTTAATAGTGTGCATATATAAACTGTACAGTCTGATAGTAGGAAGGAGGAAAGAAGAGAAGGAGGGAGGGATTGATTCTGCAGGTGAGGAAATTATTAAGGCACAGTGAGCACAAGGTCACCCACCTAGGAAGATTTGAACCCAGGTTCTGTCCTACTCCAAATCCCATGGTCTTCACGGTGACACTGTGCTGTGCCACCACAGACACCTGACTGTGGTGTATCCCAGTGTGGGGTTCTGTGCTTTTCTTCTCGAAGAAGCCACGTTTGGTCAGTCAAACAATCAGACCTGTGTAAGTGAGCTCTAATAAAACAATTGTACGAGGAAATCTGAGGAAGGTCCAAGTAGAGGTTAGTTAATTGTATTATGACAATCCATTTCCTGATTTTGATAATGCACTATAGTTGTGTAAGATGCCACTATTGGGGGAAGCTGGGTAATGGGTACATAAGACCTCTCTGTACTAATTTTGCAACTTCTTATGTGAGTCTATAATTATTTCAAAATAAAAAGTTAAATTAAATAGAGTACCAGGAGGGTATGACATGGAGGCTTTACTGGGCCCTGGGAGGGATCACTGCGCCCCGGCCTCCATCGCACTGTTCTGCCTCCACCTGCTTTGCCGGAGAGCACACTCATTGTCCTGCACTCCACCAACCCCAGGGATGGAGGGTCTTCTCCAAGCCTGCTCACTTCTTCCCTCTAGTCTGAAGGAAATGGGTTTTCTCCAAACTATCACCACAAACATGTAGTCCTTTAATAATGTAATGTTTGCCAACAGTTTAGACTCCCAGATGCGAGTGAAAGAGTGTTCTGTGCATCATAGCTCTTAAATTATGATGGCTTAATAAAGCCAAATTAGAAATGGTCCATTTATACACTCTTACACACAGCTGGCTCCTATAATTTTATTATTTTACTTTGTAGGGCTGAAAAGTAATTTAGAATGAATTATCTTCACCAGACATTTAGAGTGATAAAATATTGGATTCTTCCTACAATTCCAGCCTCAAGACAAGTGGCTGATAGGAATAAAGCTTTCTTTTGAGATTCAGTCTGTTGAGTAGAAGGAAGATAAACTGTGATGGCCCAATTAATAATACTGCCGTGTCCATCACTGAGAACAGACCCTGAATCATTTATTATGATTGCCACTCACAACAGAGACATGGAATCCATGGCTCAAACTGTAATTATTTTACCTAAAATAGTTCCCTCTTGTTCAGCTGCATCAAAGGTCTGTAACATGAAAGATAATTTGTTAGATTGGAAACACATGTGGAACCTCTTTCTCCCACAAACAGATAAGCACATTATACAGAAGTTTTGCAAAATCTTTCCTTTGTACCTTTTAGCCACTAGATGCATTTACTGCAAGTTAATTTAACTTTTTAAGAATCCTTTAGAAATACTTAAGAAATAAGCAGATTTGGGGCTTTGAGCACTGGAACCAGCACTGTTTGAATTTGGTCTCATAAATGAAGGAAGAGTTCAATGAATGTGTTTTATCTTTTCTCACAGGCAATCTTCGAACTTTCCCAAGGAGAGGAAGACTTGATAGAGGACTTGAAATTGGCAAAAAAGGTAATTTAAATCCAGTGGTCATTTGAGTTACCTCATATTTTTTTCCTCTGAGTAATTTCACAGTTCTAAGGTTGTGCTTTATGAGCACTTTCTTTATGACTAAGACAAGTCATCGAAAATGGAGAACCTGCACAAATCAAGCAGTGGGGAAAAGGGCACAAAACAAGAAGGGTCTGTGGACTTGGCACCTTTAGGAGTTCACCTCTGTATGTCTCTATTGCACCTCAAAGAATGCACTTCAGCAATCGGAAAGTGTTCCTGGAGGCCTGGCTTCGTGTATATTTTGTTGTCCTAGAAGTCTCACATGCAAGGCCTCCTTATCCATGGAAGAGAATGTGTAGATGTCTGAAACTGGAAATGTGTCTTAGAAATAAAGTCATTTGAATCTCATAAGTGGATAAAGTGGTTAAGTGAAGCAATCGCATACTATCATGTAAGTTAGGGTCTTTTATATGGAAACCTGTTTTTTAATCACATTGTATGCAGGAAGGAGGAAGAAACCCATGCCATGTAGCCTGTGTAGTCTTGACAACAAACCTTCCTCAAAAACCTTTCTATTCCAGTGACCCCCATGGAAGCTAAAATCCAGACACCTTCTTCTGCTATTCACATCTTCCTCAAAGAATCACAGAGTTGGAAAGATGCCTCCCTTCCTTAGTATCCTTAGTCCAAATTTCTGCTAATATGAAGTTCCATCTGTAGCATTCGTGAGAGATGGCCATCCAAGCTTTGCTTGGACACAGCCAAGAAACTGAGTTTTAAGGAGGGCTGAAGGAGGAGGAAGATGGGGAGGACAAAGAAGGCATTTAACTCTGGGAGACATCTTGCTGGTGATATGTCCAGCTCCTCCTTCCTGCATCAAGATTTCCCAAACCGAGGCACTTGAAGATGTTTCACTGCCATCCTTTTGCTTATGGTGATCCCACCTTCCTGGAAACCGTTCCCTTTCCTTTCAATCATCCATATCCGCCCATTCTCCAGGAACCAGCTCAAATCTCAGTTCATTCTTCAACAATATTTACTGCCTCTTTCTCAATGCCAAGCAGCTCATCTTTAAAATCTCCCTTGACTACTCCAGCTTTAATTCTCTGACCCTCTAGAGCAGTTATGATTTGATAAATTTTTGCTGCCATGTGACATCTCTCCTATTTTTAATCTTGAACTATTTTTTAAACATATATTTAATTTTCCATGTGTTTTTCTTTTTTTTTCTTTTTTTTTTGTTTGAGGAAGATCAACCCTGAGCTAACATCCATGCCACTCTTCCTCTTTTTGCTGAGGAAGACTGGCCCTGGGCTAACATCCGTGCCCATCTTCCTCTACTTTATATGGGACACCGCCACAGCATGGCCTGACAAGCAATGTATCAGTGCGCGCCCGGGATCTGAACCCCGGCTGCCAGCATCGAAGCGCACACACTTAACTGCCACACCATGCACGGGGCTGGCCCCTCCATGTGTTTTTCTTATCTTCCCAATTAGCTTTATAAAACTCCTTTAGGGCAGGGGCTGTGCCATCTGAGTTTTTGTATTCTGTTACAGTGCCATGGGTATAATTGTGTGTTCTTGTTGTTTAATTATCTTTAATAAGAGGTGATAAGATTGGCAGAGATTTTGCTCTCTTTGCTTCAAAACAATAGTAGAGGATGCCAATCACTTGTTCTTTTCTTAGTTTAAATATGGAAACTGCTAGTAATTAATTTTATATAACGTGGGAGTTTTTCAAGCTGCCAGATCTTCAATAAAGTTAGTTTTTAAAACATTATACAAATCAAATCTGCTCTATGCTTAGAATTTGTGCCTTTTCTTAGATGTATGATATACTAGAATAAAAAAGCTTTTTAAAAACTCTGCTTTGGTTTATCAACAACCACAAAAGGCTCAAGGCAATGCTAGATTCTGTCTACTCCAGCCACACCCATCTGTTGTCCTGCAGCATTATGGGAGAAGTTGCTGTGGAGAGCCAAATATTTTGTTATTGTGTAGGGCCTCTCAGAAGCATTTACATTAACAACTTACTTCCTCTGGTTTTAAATGTTTACTTCCATCTCTTGCCCTTCTTGTGCAGGCCTATCATGACCCCATGCTGAAACTCTCCATAATGACAGAACAAGAGTTGAATCAAATTTTTGGAACACTGGACTCTCTAATTCCTCTACATGAAGGTATAATTTTGTTCCCAGAATGAGTCGAGACTTGTAGCCTTAATTGAGTTATACTTATAACAAATCATGATTACGTAACAATGTGAGTAACCCAGAATCTACTTCCAGCCCTGGTCATATTTGAATGCCTAACAAAATAAGCGTTCTGTTTGTTTTTTCACCAGACCTCCTTAGTCAGCTCCGAGATGTTCGGAAGCCTGATGGCTCGACTGAACACGTCGGTCCCATCCTCGTGGGCTGGGTAAGAAAAGTTCTCTGATCTTGATTGAAGATAAATTTCAATAAAGTAGATGGAGTTTCATTTTAGCTAGACTTTTTTATTGGCAAGCATTGGTTTCACATCATAAAAAATTAAAACAGCAAATTCTTAAAATTTATCATTATATTTATGCTTTATCTCTTCAACGTATGGAAACAGTTTTTTTTCTTATTACAGATTTACTGCATTTAAAGATAACATGGCCTTTTTGCAATAAAATAAGTAAAGGCACACATGAAACTGTTACTAGTTTCACATCAAATAAAGTAAAACTAGTTAATATTCAATTCAGGCCAATTACTGTTATAATTATTACCATTTCTATTCCGGTAAAAATCCATGGACATATTCCTGTCCGTCACCAAAAAAAGCTTTATTGAGGCCACAAAAAAACTCATGGTCAAATGTAGTTTCATAAACAAAGTAATAACTAAATATTAATATTCAGCATATATCTGATACTAAGTAACTTCATAGGACAGCTGAGTATTAGCTGACCTTCATCCCAAATAACCCATTCTTTTTCCTAATTAAACAAAGAATCAGCTGTGATCTTAGATTAGGAGTTCTAAACTTAACGGTCCTGGGCCTGAATTTGTGTTTTATTGGGTGCATAATGTTATTGTTCATTTATTTAATTTACTTTAGATGAGGCATGCTCTCTCTATTTTGCCATAGTCCCCACCACTCCCTATTATACATTTCTGGCTCCTTCTGTGAGTCCTGGAGCGGTCCACCCCAGCTCCAGGTGTTTTTCACTTGTTATCAAGCAGGTAATGAAAGCAGCTTACTTTGATGACTTCCTTCAGGCAGAATTAGGTCTCTCATCCCTCTGAGCCACACAGTGTTTCAGAAAAATAGGCAGAAAGTGCCACAACAACAAGTATTAGAGTCATTCCACCGTTGGGAGCGTGTTGTGAAGGTTTAAATTCTACTATTACCATGTGAGTTTTGTTTATCCAGTTACATTTGTATTTGTATTTTAACCTTCCTAAACCTTCCAGTTCCTAAGGTTTTTAGTTGATCTCTTAACTCATGCTTCTCAATTACTGTCTTGATCAAGAAACTTTGAGGGTTTCATGACTTAGCTTTAGTTCGGGAGTCAATTTTAGCACAGAGGCTGAAACATCCCAAGGGTATCTGAAAGGCAAGTAATGTTCTAAGATGAATAATTTAGAAAATGTTCCTTAATATTTCAGGAGAGATCGTTCATCTTATATTTTTGACTTTCATTTTATTATGAGCCATGGTAGGTGTTTTAACTTCTTTAGCCCACAAAGAAATTTCTCTAAAGGGAGCCAACTAGCTGGAGACAGAGAGGGTGTAATGAGAAGAGAGAGTCTGCCTCAGTATTTCTTAAACTTCGCCAGTCTGTGGACTGCTTTGATGGGAGTGAGGCTGCAACTCCAGAATTGGCGTGATGACTGCTCTGTTTTTGATGAGATGGCAATATAGAAGTACATGGTTTCCTTAGATATCATATACAAATTGTCAGTTCATGCCAGAAGCAAAAATGAATGCATTTCCCTCATTACTAATTTTTTTCTGAAATAAATATCACTTTTATTAGGAAATTGGTTTGATCTGGGGGTAGTTTTTGCAGTTCTTTTCTATGCATACCCAAAGGAAGTATGACCATGCCGGTCCACTGCTATCTGGAACCTTCAGGCTTCAAATGGGAACTTGCAGCTTGAAGAGCAGCCTAAAATTAAACAACTGGCCCATTGTTTCCAGACCTCATGAGAAATGGCCCTTATTTATCAGGCCCAAGGAGCTGTTAAATGTTTTCCCTCTTTTAACTGCAGATGTGTGCCTGCGAGTGGGAACTGTAAACCAAGCGGTACATCTGTTTGAGTTCTGGTGTTTTTAACAGAACAAAATAAACATCTTAGTGGACTTTGAATGAGAAAAGTCAGAGCCCATTCAACCCATGAAAAATTGATTTATTTCCCCCCAAAGGAAAAAAGTGAAAAAAAACCCTTTTAAACAAGTGAGCCTCCCAAGTAGGATAGCCCTGGCCAGTCCTTTTGACCTTAGAATGAATCAATTACTTTACTTTGAAGACCTTAAACAGAGTGGTGAGTTTTTTCCGGGAACAACCCTGGTTACTGAGGATCCATGTCCCTGACAGGTTGGCCTGCTCTCAGAAGTCTCCCCTGTCATAAAGAAACAACTTCCTAAGTGACTTATCTTCATGCTAACGTTTTCCCAGTAATAAAATAATTTATAAGCTCTCCAAGGCAGCAAGTTCTCACGTTAATTTGGGTTCTAATTAAATTTTAATTCTAAAGAGAGAGGCAGGGTACATGGAAGCAAAAAAAATAGATTTGTTCTGTCGCTTTTTACAATGTTAGGGAGATAGAAAGAATTTCTTTTGAAAAGTGAGTTTCTCTTATAAAGTCTTGATAGTCTGTCTAAAAGATGGCGAGTAGTTCAGAGCTTTGGAGGGAGGGGTGGGGGAAGAACATGCTTGAGACTGGTTTTGTCTCCAGCTGAGCAAGTAGTTTTGCTTCTCTAAACCACACTTTCTTCAGTAAAAATATTCTAAGCATAGATAATAATAATAGCCAGTACTTACTGGTTCTTAACCAGGAGCCAAGTTCCATGCTACACTTTGTATCTGCCTTATCTCGTTAAAGGATAGGAGGACATTAGTGTATGCATTTTGTAAGTGGAGAAACTGACGCTCAGAAGGGTCACCTGACTGCTAACTGTCCGAGTTAGGCTTTGAACATTGTTCTCCCTCGTTCCAGAGTCTGTCCTCTTAACCACTGTGTCATCACCTCTCACATTTTATATAAGTGTGTGTGTATGATTTGGGAACCAAGATGTGTATACATTTTTCATTCTCTATCTAGTTATAGATCACTTGTGGCCTTTTCTAGCCAGTGGGCCGAACCAGATAGCCTTTCAGGTCATGCCCAGGAAATGAACACACTGTCTAGTGTGAACGCAGGCCCAGAGCCGGATTTGGTTGCCACGGCAGTGGGGGGTGGCAGGATCAGAGAGAATAATGGCCCGTTGGACAGCCAGCAGCAGTGTGGTTGGGGTTCCTTGCTAGTTTACATCCGATGGTTACTGCTGATTTGTTTCTCCGTAATGAAAACATTGGGCATTTCCAGATCTTTTTAAAAGGCGAGGAAGTGGAAAGGAAATTAAGAGAGCCTGTGGCTCTGTTTAATTAACTCTGAAAATCTAAATTACAAGCCTCAATACCACATGGGGGTGGGGGGAGTATGTGTGAGTGTGTCTGTGTGTATATGTAAGTACCAATTATCATTACCTTCAAATACAAGGTTGAGGAAAGAATTTCTGCAGCTTTTTTTTAAACACAGAGGGGTTTTTTAAATAAGATGTGAGGAAAGTAGACATTTCCAAGAAATGTTAACTCAACAATGAACTTTTTAAACGTTACTTTCTTGGTATCTTTTTTTGGTTTCAGTCACTGAGAAAATAATTTAAATAAGAGGTCTGAAAGAAGCAGCAGAATATTTACACTTGACCCGTTGTTCAGATACTGCCACAATTTATTTTTAAGCTGTGTTCCCAAACTATCAAATATTACTTAATCTGGTAATCCAGTAAATCCATTTATTCATTCGGCATACAGACTTTGAATGTCTGCTGTGTAGAAGGCCCAGTGGATGCGGAAATGAAAGGCCGTCTTGCCACTGTCTTGTGATGAATCCCTCCACAGAGCAGGTGTTGTGGTGAATGTGGCCTCCTAGTCCAAGAAAGAGAAGCAAACACAGGAGGCCCTGGGCTGCATTTTATTGCCTCCAGGGACTTTCTGGAAGCTGACAGCCCATGTATTAGGATGCATGGTCTTGGATGCCACTAGGAGGGAGGAGTGGAAAAAGGAAATGAGTAGCCCTTTCACTGAGTCTCTGATTCCGTGTTTGCACAATGTGATTGACGGGACATGTCAGGGAAATTAGTATTTCGCTGGAAGGAAGGTAGTGGAGTTGAAGTGTTCCAAAATCTTTAAGCTTACATTGTTTTTTGCGTGGTATTGTGATGTTAACCATTAGGTATAGCCAAGACTCATTCCTGGCCTGTCAGAACTAATTTAAAGGATTTTTCTGAATGCTTCCTGCATCTAATTTTTTACTAGTTTTACTTTTGCTTTAACTTCTTGGGGTTCTTTATAATTGGTCCACCTTGGAATCAGGTAACTTAAAACTAATGTAGAGGTGCACTGAGCCACGCAAAGGGCTGGGCTCTGGAATCTGACTCCTTGCTTTCTTTTTGTGCCACTAAGTCTTCTCGATGAGTTTCTTATGAATAATTTAAAAGACATGCTTTTTTAAAAAAAATATTTTATTGAGGTCACATTGGTTTATAACTGTGTAAATTTCAGGTGTACATCATTATGTTGCAGCTTCTGTATAGACTGCATCGTGGTCACTACCCAAAGTCTAGTTTCCATCCATCACCATACATCTATGCCCCTTTACCCCTTTGGTCCTCCCCCCAGGAAATGCTATTTCTTAAAAAATAGGATGCTTTCTCCTCACTAGACACTTTTGGAAGTTTAGGAAAATTCTGAACTGTGTGCATATGCAGTAATTCCAGTTCTTTTGTTTCTAGCTTAGGTGGGCAGGAAATGCAAACAAATTATGATAGGGTCTTAACAATCAAGAAAGTAAACGTGCAACTAAGAAAATTACTTCATGCAAGAAGCCAGAGCCTAAAACAAGTATCCATTGCCTGCCAATGTGAAGATTCCACTGGTCCATGCAGATAAAGGAATGTTGGCCAGGCCTGGAGACCAGTTAAGGGTTTGTTCAGTCCCAAAAAGTGATGATAGTTTGTGGCTTCAGTTATTATAACACTCACACCCTCTTTTGATGTTCCTTTCTTAGCTGCCTTGTCTCAGCTCCTACGACAGCTACTGCAGCAATCAAGTAGCTGCCAAAGCTCTGCTGGACCACAAAAAACAAGACCACCGAGTCCAAGATTTCCTCCAGCGATGCTTAGAATCCCCCTTCAGCCGCAAACTAGATCTCTGGAATTTCCTTGATATTCCAAGAAGCCGTCTGGTGAAATACCCTCTGCTTCTTCGAGAAATCTTGAGGCACACACCAAATGATAATCCAGATCAGCAGCACCTGGAGGAAGCTGTGAGTTTGTCTCTTTCTTCCTCTCTTCCCTTTTTATTTTCCCCATAACGGCTAGAGGATTGGGTAAATGGGTGAATGAAGGGTCCCTGGGTACCCGGGACTCAAGAATCTTGGTTCCAGGCTTGGCTCTGCCATCAACCATGTTTCGATTTTGCAGGTTGCTTCTCCTCTCTCTGCCTCAGTTTCCTAACCTGTAAAATGCAGTGTTTACATGAAATGCACTCTGAAAATTTCTTAATTCTGTATAGGTGACTCTGTAATCCATTTGTTACAATTGCTGTGAGGATTAAGATCTCTGTGGAGATTTTAAGTTGAATATCTTTGTTTAGTTAGCAAATAGGAATTGCCTTTTACCTTAGCCTCAAGGCCCATTTGTGAAGTCAACACCCATTCAAGATCCCGCTCTCCTTGGCCCCGGATTGCAGTGGGAGGCCTAGTCAAACCTCCTGCTCACCAGCAAATGTTTATTAAGTATGGAGAAATATGAATTCTTCCCTAGCAGCAATAGAAGACCAGGAAAAATGGGGTCTATATCATGAGACTATTGCAAACTGGTAGCATTCTGCTCAGAGAGCTCTGTCCTGGTTGGGATTCTCTTTGGGGCAGGACAAAGGAGAGGACAGGCCAGGAGGAGCGAATGGCCTGAGCAAAAGTGTGAAGAAATGTCGGGACAGGTCATGCCTGGGGAATACCGTGGATCACTGTACCTGGGATTGAGGATTCTCTGAGGAAGCAGGAAGAGGATGGGGGTTCATATCTGGTTATAGAGTGTTTTAAATATCAATGTGAGACACTTGTCCTTTGTTATCTTTTCATTTGTTTTTTGTTTTCTAAGTGGCTGGAATTCAGCTTTCAAGTCCTAGCTCCATTGATGACAAAATGTAACCTTGGACATGTTACTCTCCTTGTCTGTAGGACAAGGGGCAGAGGAGGAAGAAACTAGGGACAGGGAGGCAAGTTGGGAGGATGCTCTAGTGGTCCAGGTGTGCAGTCATGGAAACCTGCTCAGGGAGGTAGCAGTGGGGATGGAAGCTAAGAGAACAATTCAAAGGGTTCATTCCCTGACTGGATCTGGGACAACAGAAAGAGGATATGCGTAGGGGATTTGAAAATCAGAAGCCTTGAACCTGCTGAGCAAACTGCCTGCTCCTCCCAGAGAGGGGTTTAATAATAACAAGTAGGAATAACAACAACAATAATAGTCATACCTGCTGACATTTCTTAAATATGTAGTAAATCACCTTTATGTAATTGCCTTATAGGTTATATATGTCATTTAATCCTCATAATAATGTATGAGATAGCTGTTCTTGTTAGGACCATTTTCCAAATGAGGCCTGGAGGGCTTAAATAACTTGTCCAAGTCCAGAGCCAGCAAGTGATGGAGTTGATGTCTGAACCCTGTCGGTGTAGACTGCAAATCTTGTGCCTTTTCCACTTCTTTATGATCCTACATCGTGGAGCTGAAAGCCTGGCCACTTCATTGAGCCCCTGTTGCCTTTGGAATTGTGGAAAGCTGTCTGGCCACCAGACTTTGTGGAGAGACCTCACTGGCACAGAGCTGGGCCAGGTGCCTCTGTGTAGAGATAGAGAAGAATAAGGAAAGACTTTCTCCTGATTCATGAGGTGTTTGATGTGTCTGGCAGGCCCGACACACACAGACCAGGCCCCCAATCCAGCATGGATGGTGGATATAGGCACCAGGGATGAGGCCCATCTCACTTCATCACGTCTGTTTTTATTACTGGGAAGAGTGCAATAGAGTTGCCTCCTCTCCGTATTTCATCCCAGCCAGTGTGTGGTCTCTAGGAATGAAAACAACAAGGAGCTCGAGCTAGTCTAAATAATTACTTTGTTGAAGCACACGAGCCTGCTCTGAGTTTTACTGTAAAGATTTCTTCTTTTTAATATCTAGCATGAAAGAGTAATGCTCTATTTAAAAAAACACCCAATGAGCTAAAGTTTGAATTTAAGAACAGATAGATAAGAGTATGATTGTTTGCCATATGAAAGGATGCACCAGTTTCCCTAGTGCATAAAATGTGATGCCATTTTCAAAAGCTGCATCTGCACCCAGTCAGGCAGACTTGTACATGAAGCATGGTCTACCTGCACTCGAAAATGTCTGCAAAGCAAGTCTTCTAAATGCCCATTTACATAATATAGGAATAGCAATTTTTTTTTCCTACCTTTCAAAGTCCTTGTGGTATTACCCCAGATGAGGAGAAGTATTTAGCCCTGTACTCTTGGGTGCGCTGTGAATGTTTGATAAACATAAAACTCATGCTACCAGTGTAGCTTGACTTATATGTTCCCTGAATAAATTTTCCCCCAAGAAAAGGGAAATATCGGAGAACTCTAAGTAAATTGCTTTTATACCAACCATTCAGTTCTATGATTAGATCTAAAGAACAGTCTTGCTTTAAATGCGGTGCATAAACCACCACATCTTTATTAAAATTTCTTAATAGTGTTTTGGAGGGTTGATAGAAATTTTCCCCCAAGGAGAACTTCTTAAAATAGGACTTAGCATATTCAGATATTCCAGCAATCTGGTGGTTTAACATTTTAAATTCTAAAGATTGTTTCAGCCAGAAAATGATCCTACAGACCATTTCTTCCCTCCGCCCACCAATGTTCCCCAACTTCTTAAAAAAAAAATCACTGGGATCAGTGAGAAGAACAGTCCTGCTTTTGATGCAACAGCAGTGAAGGCTGCTATTCTTGGTTCATGTCAGGAGCCTACGAGTAGATGATGTTACCACACAAGGGACTAGACAGACAGGGCTTTCAGATTTCACTTTGAGGATGACGATTCCAGCGTGTGTGCCCTTAATCCCTGTTCTGTTACTAGGTTCTCTCTCATCATCTCCCGTTGCCAGTCCCTTCACTTCAGTTTGAACCCTGTTGAGAGATGCAACAATGAATTTAATTTAAATGAACAACTGCCATGACTGTTTGCTATTGGCAGTCTGCTATATGTAACTTTATTCCTCGCTGTAATTCTGCAAAATAAATTCCTCTCAAGAACCAATGCAGAGAGATTAGATGCTCATAGTTACAGGTGGATATAAATATAAAATAGTATTTTTAATAAATGAAAGAAGACCCAGAGTTACTATTATAAATGTATACACAGAATATGGAGTAACACTGTTTCCATTATTTTCTCTCTTTATATTTTTTCCAACACTAGAGGAAGAAGCAGCATTTGAAAGTAGTCATAGCTGCCTAAGGAAGCACTGTGGCATTTGAGTTCATTAATCTTCATGTGATATGCCAGCTGTTCAGTTCCTGAGTTAAAATAGGAAATGAACACATCATTATGTCTGTAGTACATCTTCTTTCTGGTTTCCTAGATAATTGCAGGAAACTCAGAAAATTGATTCAAGTGCTGGTTAATTCCAGCTGCCCAGGTATATACCTAATAATAGTTAACTGATAAGATGAGCCACAGCAATTAACACTAAGAATTTTAAAAGCAAGGAAAAAGTATAATTCCACTACATATTAAAAACGTAGTAAGGTTAAAGGATAAGGTAGACATGAAACAATTGCTCAGATACCTCCCATGTACTCACATGTTGAGGGCAGGGACCCTTCTCATTTCTTGGAATGCTACCACCCAGTATAACACTGAACAGATGCTCAACAACCGTTAGTTGAATTAATTTGAAAGATAAGTCCTAGTTTTAGTATATTTTCAGAAATTTCTCTTTGGTTTGTTTTTGAGAGTAACAGTAAGTAATCAGTCATCTTTGTAAACCAAGAGGAGGAAAAAAGAAACAGAGAAAGTTTGTATACCAAAATGTTCTATTTATTACTTGTTTTGTGTTAATAAAACTCAGATTAATTTCACAGGACTTATATTTAATGTTAGGTTGATATCAAAGGCCAAAAAGATTCTATTTTGACACAAAGAACCTGTATTTCTTAAAATAATGTAATTTTTTAAATTATCAGAGTAATGCTACCACCAAAATTTGAGAAATAGAGAAAAGAATAAATGGTCTTTGAAACTCTTAATAGCTACAAAAGTATACAGATTATGACTCTGTCCAAAGGATACAGTTACCACACTTCAGCTCAGAGCTGTGAGATCTTCTGTCAAACTTGCATGGAGGCACCAAAGCTATAGCTGAGTAGAAATTTTCATCCTGTTGCTTTAGGCAGAAGATATCGTTTCACTGGCATGTGAAAAATAATCACTTAATCTTAGAATTCACCACCACGTTAGCACGTTACAAGATCTGATAGCTTGTCGCTGAGTGAAGGCCTTGCTTTCCAGAGATTGGTTTGTTTTCCCGTTAAGTAAATGTGACCAGAAAGAGGCCTTACCAACATTTCTCATCTGGTAACTTCTTTTCCATTAATACCACCACAAGAAAGATGAGATTGTTGGTCTTTTCATTATTAGGGGCAGAGACCCTGCTGAGAAGTCGTTACTTTGCCTTTGATTGGTGTCATTGAGTTTTTACTCAAATTTCTCGTTCCTTTGTTTTCTAGTATTTTCTAACTTTTAGACGTACTATCCAAGTGATAGAACAACAACATATCAGAATAAATGCCCACTGATCATGTCTCAGTGCTATACTCTTATTGTTTTGTTTAGCTTCATTTTGTAGTAACAACATTGCATCCACTATTGCTTTGAAATCCCTCTACCCCTAACTTATTCACATGAGTTATAGACATGAACGTGAGTATACATACACAAACTGTCCCCATTACTCCTGGTATCTTTTCTTTCCATTCCTAGTTCTCTGTCCTTTATAAACCATTTATGTTTTGTCACTAAGAAGATATCCAAACCATTTATTCACACCCAATTTGCAAATATTGTTTGTAGGTTAGATCGAGCGCACATAGACAGAATTCGAAACTGGGTTTCAAATCCCCAAAGACGATTCCTTTTCTGGACTACTACATTCTGCTTTGTTTTCTCTCCTTGGCCAAATTTTTTATATGCATACATTTTCAACATTGTGAGCATGTTTTAAGAAATGTGCAACATGGAGCTCAGTAGTTATGAGTCTTGCACATTGAAAGCTGCACCTTATATCTGTTCCTCTCAGATAAAATTATGCATCAACATTTGTTTTATATATAATACAAATATGTGTATATGTGTGCAAATAAATATATGTGTATATGTTTATTTATATGTGTATTTGTATAAATGGATAAGTAGGTAGATACAGTACATTAAAAGCATTTATTTATTTATCCCTTTTCCCAAAGCAACAACTTAGATAATAGAATCTCAAAATTAGATCCAAGTGTATCTTAGTGACCTTCTAAGCTGAGCCCCTGGGACTTAGTGTAGATGGTTTGCTTACTTTCCCCGTTCTTTCTTCTTTGTTTCTATAGATAAACATCATTCAGGGAATTGTGGCAGAAATCAACACCAAGACTGGCGAATCTGAATGCCGCTATTATAAAGAGCGACTTCTTTACTTGGAAGAAGGCCAGAAAGACTCCCTGATCAACAGCTCAAGAGTGCTCTGTTGTCATGGCGAACTGAAGAACAACCGGGGTGTGGTGAGTGGTTACTCTTCTTCAGTGCTCGTTCTGGGCCTCCCCGAGTACCTACTCCATTTAATGCTGAGCCTCCTGTTACTGTGCCTTCCCTATCCAAGGTCAGGTTCTTTAGATAAAAATTGCTTTTCCAGTGTCTTTTATATCATAGGATCTTACATATATGTGGAAATACGTAGTTATATATATTTTATATATATTTATATATTTATAATTATAATTTGTATATAAAAACTATATATTATAAATAGTTTATAATTTATATATATTATATATACTTTTAATGTATTTTGTATATTTTTTTAAATTTCATGACCAGTATGTATTCAGAAAGAATTTTAGAAACCAACATAGAGTTGCCAACTTTTTATTTTGTTTGATCATGACCTTCAAAAACAAATACAGAACAGTTAACATCGCCTCCCTCTTTGATATCAGAAAATAATGGATGATTTTAATAGGACAGTAAAAATGTATAACCTGAGAAAAACAGATGGCTCGTAAATTGAATGCATTTAGCTTTATGAGAAACTCTTTTCTTATGGATTGGCACCCATGTACAGACTGACATTTTAAGAATAAATTTTTTGTGTTTTTTTCATGACAACCTACCCTCTATTGGCTGTATGTCTAGCTCTGACCTATAGATACCCCATTTCCTGGCTTTAATCCTGAGTAGATATTGAGATTGTTCCTCCTCTCCTATCAGAGCAACTTGGACAAATCTCCCCTGGAGCGCTTACTGCAGTGAGTTGTCGTTCTCCATCTGTCTGTCAGTATCTTCCCTTATACCAAGCTCTTTTAGGGAGGAGACTATGCCTTCTCAATCCCCAGCATCTAATATGGGGACCTGGCACATACTAGGCACTCAGTAATGTGAGGTGAATGAGTGAGTGAATAAATGAATGAATGCATACTTGTATAAAGGAAGGATGGGTTGGAATTATATGAGTTCAAAATTCATTCAAGTTACAAAGCTATTTTTACGTGTAGACAGTAAAATTAATCTTAATATACATATTATATAATTTTATATATTATATATAATACATATATAAATATATTTAAAATTAATTATATGTATATAATTAAAATTAAAAATATATATTTAAATGTGTTGAGAAAATATATATATTAAAAGTGTTGAGAAAGCCATTCAGAAAGAGTCTCCACTTTGATTGTATTTCATCTTCAATATCTAGTCAACCCTTAGAATGAAAGCCAAAACTAGGTTGAAGAGTTCTTAATAAAGCTTTGTTGATTCAAGGAACACCCTTTTGACCTGGACTGTGAAGCAACATTTATGAGCAGGCTTGGAAATGTTACTTGAAATCATTGAGTACATGTCCCAGTGCCCATTATCAGTGCTGCTGTGAATCCAACCAGCTGATGGTGCCGCAAGAGGTAACGAGACCTGTTGCAGGCCACTGCTTGAAGAAGTGTTTCTGTTTGACTAGGGAGTTATGGTTGCTAGAAAGCTGCCTTCTGCTTCTTGCTGATTTTCGGAAAGCACTGGTGGACTTCTAATGTCTGATGCTCTGGCTCTTTGAACATTCTTCCTTGGAAGCCCTGTGGGAGATAGTCGAGAAGATGCATCGCTCTGTGGGATGAGGGCCTGTTCTCTTTCTGTCCATCAGTCAAGGACTGAGACTCTCTGGTCGGCTGTGCCTAGGGCATTAAAGATGAACTCTAGTTCATGTTGTAGGCACATAGATTTTTTTTTTTTGTGAGGAAGATCAGCCCTGAGCTAACATCCATGCTAATCCTCCTCTTTTTGCTGAGGCAGACCGGCTCTGAGCTAACATCCATTGCCAATCCTCCTCCTTTTTTTTCCCCCGCAAAGCCCCAGTAGATAGTTGTATGTCATAGTTGCACATCCTTCTAGTTGCTGTATGTGGGATGCCACCTCAGCATGGCTGGAGAAGCGGTGTGTCGGTGTGCACCTGGGATCCGAACTCGGACCGCCAGCAGCGGAGCGCACGCGCTTAACCGCTAAGCCACGGGGCCGGCCCCCGGCACATAGATTTTTGAGAGCAAAGATAGTAGTTGGGGTAGGAAATTTGTTTTAGTTATTTTTTTTCCCAGTAGAATTGTAGAAGTCATTATGAACAAAGTCCTTTGTCAGGAAAAAAGCTCAATAGTTTTTGTTTGGTTTTTTTTTGTGAGGAAGATCAGCCCTGAGCTAACATCCATGCCAATCCTCCTCTTTTTGCTGAGGAAGACTGGCCCTGGGCTAACATCCATGCCCATCTTCCTCTACTTTTTCATATGCGACGCCGCCACAGCATGGCCTGACAAGTGGTTCATAGGTGGGCGCCCGGGATCCGAACCCAGGCTGCCAGCAGCAGAGCGTGTGCACTTAACCACTACGCCACAGGGCCGGCGCCGAGCTCAATAGTTTGAGGGCAAAAAGGAGCTGAGGCTAAAATGAGGAATTCTCAGTGAACATTCATAAATAAGGGATATTTTTTAAAGGTTACCCGGAGAATCTGAGTTCAAACTGCCTACTTTAGCTAGAAGATTGAAGGTTGAAGTAGAAATAGTATAAAAATCTCTTGATTATTTTTAGTATGTAAAACAATTACTAACCCCTTCCCTCCTCTAACCCCAAAAGAAAAGTCTTAACACATTCTTTCCACCATCTCCCTGCCCCCCCCCAAAAAAAACCCTTGCCTTGGTTATTTTGTGCTTTACTCTGTTTTTTAATCTTCAAACCTCTACCATCTCCACCATCAGTACAGAATCATCATCATCACCAGCCAACATTCGGTTGAGCTTTAGTTTCTGCATTTTTGGGCAGGGTGGGCGTGAGTGACCCACAAGTCTCTTTTCTCCCAAATATAAAATTATCTGATAATGTTGAATGTGCTTCCTCTGCCCCAAATCAAGATTCTAAAGTGAATTTGCCACCCCTACTCTTCTGGTCTCCTCTTTGAGACTCCTGGGTTGATATTCCCAAAAATTTCCACTGGAAAACTAGAACCCAGCTGCAAAGTTGTGGATCTTTTCACTTTCTTTAATTCCTAAGCATTTCCAAACTTTGAGAAGAGTCTAGCACTTGGAATTGAATGGAGCCAATTTACCCCAGCTCCACCCAGCAAAATTGCTTTCATGATGTTGTTTGAGACAGGCCTTTATTTCTGAGATTTTCTTTTTGCCCACAACACACACATCAGTCATCAGCCTTTTAAGCACAACCTCTGCAGAGAACCGAGGTTCTGATGAACTTAACTTAGAAGGACAACTTCTTTGATCATCTTTCTTTGTGGCTACAGCAGTGTGCTCTGATTTCCTCAGGAATGGGCAGTGTTCTGAGTTGGAGTGCCTAGATGAAGCTGATAATCAGCTCTGTGGTTGAAGGAACAATGTTTTATGGGTTTAGGAAGCAAAGATTAATATTAGGCTCTTGTATACCAGTCTCATTCTTTATAGACTATCGTTCATTTTGATCTCTTAGAATTATATTGGGTACAATAAACCAAAGCCAGAGAGGTACTAACTTTTCTTCCTTCATTACCCCTTTCGTTCTTTGAGGTTTCTCATTTTTTTCTTATGGGAGCTAGAGGCTGTGTGTCTGCACAGATTGTAAATTACAATGTGAATAGTGCCCTTGGAGCTGGCAACCCTGGCTGCAGGTGTCTGTAGGCAGAAAGGCCTTCTCCAGTGGCGCCCAAGGGAGGCACTCTTACAGGAAAGGCAATGGATGCATCTGGAAATGCCTCTGACCCAAACTTCTGTTCTGGAGGTGAATTTGAACCTAGAAGTTCATAATCCAGTGTGAACCTGGTACATGGGGACCTCTTATCCACAGAAGTCCACTAATCAACTACTCATTAGATTGTTGCTTAGGGAAATCCTGTGGATTCTTTTCTTCCAGAAACTGCATGTTTTCCTGTTCCAAGAAGTGCTTGTGATCACTCGAGCCGTCACCCACAACGAGCAGCTCTGCTACCAGTTGTACCGGCAGCCGATCCCTGTGAAGGACCTCCTGCTAGAAGACCTGCAGGATGGAGAAGTGAGGCTGGGTGGCTCCCTGCGCGGGGCCTTCAGCAACAATGAGAGAAGTACGGATCACAGTCCATTTTGACCTGTTGAATGTCTGTGGTCGTGGTGGTTCGGAGGGAGTGGCTGGCTGGTGAAGGAAGGAGAGCCATGGCCTTGAAGTCAAACTGTGTTCCAATGCCGTCTCATCACTTACTGATTGTGTAACCTTGTGCAACCTCCATGAGCCCCAGTTGCCCATCTGCACAGTGGGGATGCATGTGTACCTATTTCATAAGGTTGTTATAAGGATTAAATAAGATACCGCAAGTGAACCTGTCTACACATAACTGGTGTTCCTTAGGCTTTCTTTTTCTTTCTCTTTCCATTGGATAAAAGCATGGTTAATACCAGATAATCCCTCTGGGGATACCGGTTACATATCGGTGCCTTTTGTAGTTGAGCTGGCAGACTTGTCTCTAAAGAAACATGAGAATTCATCTATAATTACTCAAATGGACTTCTCTAAATTGAGACTTAACAAACAAAGGAATTAACCAAGAGAAGCTAAGATAGCAATGTCTATCGAGTATCTTCTATGTGTCAAGCACTTTTCTAGGCACTAGTATATACTGGTGAACCAAACAGTTAAATTCCTTGGCCCTGTAGAGCTTACATTGTGATGGAGGAGCTAGATGAGAAACAAATAAATATTCTGTGTGCTGTTAAGAAAATTAAACCCAGTAAGGGGATAGAGAGAGATAGCAGTAGGAGGTCTGTTTCAGATGAAATGGTAGGGAAGTCTTTGAGAAAGTAACATTTCAGCCTCTTGAGTTAACTTTGGCATCACATTGTCAAAGTAATTAATATGTGCTGCCTCTTACGTACTCACCAGTCCCTCCACCCTAGTAGTAGTAGTAGTAGTAGTAGCAGTAGTAGTAGTAACTTATATTTCTGGAGTACTGACTATGTGCCAGGCATTGTATGAGGACTTACATGTATTACCACATTTATCCCTCATAATAACCTTATAAAGTAGCTTCTCTTTGTTTCTCCCATTTTTATGAATAAAGAAACTGAGACATAAAGGAGTTAAAGCACTTGGCCAAGAGCAAAGGGTGGAGCCTGAATTTATGTGAAGTGGTGGCTCCCGGTCTGTTGGCTACAGGGATAATGCAAGGGGACTGAATGCAGATGCTTCTGTGAACCAAGCATTGCATGTGGCACATGGAACCCATTAAATGCCAATTAATGTTGTTGTTATTAAACTAAATAAAATGTCTTCCCTATTTGCTACCATTTTTTAAATGCATGTAGCTGCTGTTGAGGTAATTAAAATGTTATTTCATTTTAAAATGAAACCAAATTTATAATAGTTCCGTGTCTTTACATATCTTCTCAATCATTGGATGCTAAATGAAAAGCTACTATCGTGGGGAGGGTCGTGGGCATGTTTTGATGTTACAAAGAGCCTCTTAAACTTGAAAAAGCTCTAACTTGGGGCGGTTGAAATTACGATTATCATGCCCACCTTAGACTTATTGAATCCAAATCTCTAAGGGTAGGGCCTGGGGATCTATATTTTTAACAAGCTCCCCAGGGGATTTTAATATGCAGCCAATACTTTGGGGTCCCCTGAAACATAAGACTTAGTTATTCCCAGCTGATATCCATTTGCTAGCTTCTGAGGGTAACTAAGGGCAGAGAGCTAGATCTGTGTTAATTCCAGTTGACTGATGATGGCTGCAGGGCAGAGCTGAGCTGTGTCATGGATTAGTGGACACATTTTGTAATCAATTAGTGATGTCTGCCATGGGTACTGGGGGTTAGTGTCACTACATGTGTTATCTTTGGCCTGGGGAAATATCTGTCCATTGACCTTTTTCTCATGTGTTTTTCGTTTCTAGTTAAAAACTTCTTCAGAGTAAGTTTCAAAAATGGATCCCAAAGTCAGACTCACTCACTACAAGCCAACGATACCTTCAACAAACAGCAATGGCTCAACTGTATTCGTCAAGCCAAAGAAACAGTCCTGTGTGCTACTGGACAGGCTGGGGTGCTCGACTCCGAGGGACCTTTCTTAAATCCCACCATTGGGAACAGGGAGCCACAGGGAGAAACAAAACTTGAGCAGATGGACCAATCGGACAGTGAGTCAGACTGTAGTATGGACACAAGTGAGGTCAGCCTCGACTGTGAGCGCATGGAACAGACAGACTCTTCCTGTGGGAACAGCAGGCACATTGAAAGCAATGTCTGACAGAAGTATGTACTTTCTGGAGTTAGCCCCGTGTCCTACCTGTACAGTATTTGCATTCCACACGTGGAACGGTTTGGAGAAGCACTTTTTAATACTTTTGTGACCATGTTGACCCAGTCTCTTGTATCTGTACCTTTGTCCCTAGTACTGTAACTGCCAGTCTGTCTGTGTAAGCTGGAATCTGTAGCAACTGTTATCCTGTATTGTATTTCACAAGTGTCGGGATGGATGGAGAGGTACTTGAACAAGTTACTTTCAATTGTCCTGCTGGATTTTGAAAAATAGAAAAAGAATCTCTAAACTACTGTTACATGTAGATCGCTTAAAGAGTCCCTCCGTGTTTCTGAAGTGCTTTTCTAGCTCTTTGACGTGGTAGCTGAAGGCGTGGAATTTAGGGGGCCTTGCAAACAGGGCCTGGGGAAGTCACTCGTGTACCCTCATGGGATTTGAAGGAAAACCAGGAAAGAACAATCGTTGCGGTAAACTTGGTTCAATGTTATCCAGCCAGAAAGCATGAAAACATCCCTGGGGATTCTAGAGGTTTAATTTTGCAAAGGAATAAGTACTATCTTGACTTTGCAATGTCATCCAGTGCAAATTTGATGCAATAATCTATTAGGACATGAAATAGAGTCTGACTTTAAAAGGACCAGCACAAAAGCAGCTATCAGCTCTGAATCTTGAACTGAAATGCACATTGCACCAGAGGGTCTCTGTCACGGTTGCTGGCTTGCCTTAGAGAGCCATTTCTAGCCTAAAACATCAGAACAGAACTCAGAGGGCCTGGAAAACCTGGCAGGATAACCAGAAGGCTGTCTTCATTTGATTTCATTTGCCGAGCCTTGCTCATATTTTAGAGCAAGAATGAAGAGATAAGAAAGAAAGACTACGACCAAGTCAGTGACTCTGTTTACAGAAACAGATGAGAAGAAGAATTTGGAAGAAGTGCTTCATCGTAACCTTATGTGGGAAACATTACAAGAAAAAGCAAGATCCAGTGCCCTTCTGGGAAAGGCCAGCGCTTGGGTTTTCGGCTCTGCTTTTGGGTCATCAGTTTGCCGTCTCTGGCTCTGTGCTATGATCAGAATCATAATTACATTCTCCAGAGGCCAATTTAATTAACTCTGTGATTAATTACTCAGTTAACCAAACTAGTAACCTCTTTGTCCAGCCTTGATTTACAGTGCAGGGTGGGTCACAGACCTTAAAAAATGTTAACTGAATACACAGAAAAGCTCCCTGTGAGTATAAATATTAAGGATGACCTGTGCAAAATTATACCCACACCAGCACTAGTAGTAATGATTCTAAATTATTGCCAAAAAAAATTTTTTTTAAATCTTCTGTGTCTTTCGAGTTTACAGAAAGGAAAGCAGTAAATACTGTATTGTCATTTTATTATATGCATCTATCATGTACATTCAAAGAAGCTGTGTAACAAGATTTATCAATATAAAACCAAGGTATATTGCTTATTTTTCAAAAACAAAAAAATATTGTGGTCAGTTTTACCCTGTAAAACATATTTCTGTATTTATAGATTTTAAACATGGTGAATTTTTTTTCTATTACAAATTTATTTAAAACTGCTTTGTTTCTCAAGTTGTTGTTGATTTAGGGAGTGAATGGACCTGCTGCAGATAGAAGCAGAGAAAAGCTGATAAAAGTTGTTTGATAGTGGGGAAAAGAATGAATCATTCTTTGCAGGAGCCATTGGTCACTTTGGCCAGTGTGTTGAGAAAAGAGGTCTGACAGGTGCTGGCCTATGGAAAGAAAGTCAATGAATGTTTTGATGAAATGAATGTTTTTGTATAATGGCTTTAAACTTTTCTGGAAGCATTTCAAATAAATTACATTAAAATATCATCCTCCTTGTGAACAGTACTTGCCCTACAAACATCAAATTTCAGCTATCTTTTGGAAGGTTCTGTCTGAAATTTTTGCTTGTTGTACCCAAATACAAACTTTAAAAAAGGGTACAGATTGAAATGAATGTTTTGATTTGATCTATCAAAGCTTTGCCAGCACTCATATTTCTAAGATCTGTTTTTTCAGGCGCTCTCTACTCATTCAGTTATTCATTTTCAACAACTAAATCTTGAATGCATACTATGTGTCAAGTGATAAATCTTAGTTGTTACAGAAAAGAAGTGTTGAATCTCATTGCTAGTATAGGTGACTGTTGATGAACTTGAGGGTAAACAGAAGACAAATTTCACTTTGAAATTCTTACTGGAATTTCAGTCCACTTTTTTCTTTAATTAAAATGGTTAGTTTTACCCCCCTAAAGGGTAGTTTTTAGATGAAAAGGCTAAACAGTTTTAAGCTATTGGTAGCCAATTCTCAGTAGCATATTGGTCCAATAAGGCTGGTAGGTAGTCTTATCTTCATAATATGCTCTCACCGTTTTCTTTAACATACTGTTAATTCCCAGATTAGTCAAGATATTCACATAAATAAATGTAAGTCCAAGTTTTTTCCCAAATGAAAACTCACTCTTCCTTGTTCTCATCTTCTTCCTCCTCCATCCCTTTCATCTTCCTTGTCCTTCTTCAGTGCCACTTTGGATATTCCCTTCTCTTTTCATTCCCATGATTGTATTGACTTTGATGCTAGAGAGCATATCTCTATTAGTATATTAGAAAATGTTTGCACAGTAGCCCCCCTTACCTGCAGTTTCACTTTCTGCAGTTTCAGTTACCCACGGTCAACTGCAGTCTGAAAATATTCAATGGAAAATTCCATAAATAAACAATTTATAAGTTTGTGTGCTGTTCGGAGTAGCGTGATGAAATCTCCCGCCATCCTGCTCTGTCCTACCGGAGATGTGGATCATCCCTTTGTCCAGTGTATCCAAGCTGGATATGCTACCTGCCCATTAATTACTTAGTAGCCGTCTTGGTTATTAAATTGACTGTTGCAGTATCGCAGTACTTGTGTTCAAGTAACTCTTATTTTACTTAATAATGGCCCCAAAGTGCAAGAGTAGTGATGCTGGTGATTTGGATATTCCAAAGAAGCAGTAAAGTGCTTCTTTTAGGTGAAAAGATGAAAGTTCTCGACTTAGTAAGGAAAGAAAAAAAATCATATGCTGAGGTTGCTAAGATCTCCAGTAACTTTTACAGTATATTGTTACAATTGTTCTATTTTATTAGTTGTTGTTAATCTCTTACTGTGCCTAATGTATAAATTAAACTTGATCATAGGTATGTGTGTATAGGAAAAAACACAGTATATATAGGGTATGGTACTATCTGCAGTTTCAGGCATCCACTGGGGGTCTTGGAACGTATCCCCTATGGAGAAGGGGGGACCACTGTACTGACATTTTGTGGGTTAGCACAAATGACTGAGGGCTTAATGATTTTCTTCAGTCTATTTACAAGATGTTATTTGACACACAACTAAATGTAATCCTCACGGTCTAGATGAAAAGTCATAAGCAAAGAAAAGGGCCAGACTAGCAATTTTGTGCAAAATTAGAGTATGGTTTCAGCTTCTGGGTTGTGGTCACCACCACCGACTGTTTTCATTTCCATTCCCAGCACAGTTTCCAGCAGCTAAAAATGCAAAACTCTTCATAACAACTGTCCTGTTTTAACAAAGTCTCTCTGGTTACAGGAAACTGCAACCCACCATCTTAGTGAACAAGCTGTTCAACTTTGCATTTACATTCTGTCCATGTCCACCTTTTACTATTTCTCCAAAAGCCTGGACTCGGGAAGATTTGATAGAGAGGACGTCTAACCACACAATTTCACTTAGGCAGTGTCCCCCACCTGGCTCCCCTTCGCACTGTGGAAAAGGCCACTGAACACTCCCTCTCATTGATGCAGTTGATTCATTTAATTCATGCTATCTTGTTTATTGACAGAATTCTAGAATTACAGTATTGGGAGGGAATTTGAAGAGGATGACTCAAGCCCAAACCCACCAGAAAGAACCTGAAGATCGTGAAGATTTAAAACCTTGCCCACATGAACACACAATGAGAAAAGGCAACTGTATTCAATGCACCCAGAAGGTACTTATACAAACAAATTTGCAAAACAATCACTAATCATTGCGACACATCTCCTTCCTCCAGGCTTGACTGGCTCTTCAGTCAGCTACATAGATCTACGCAGATGAAGCAGTTCATCAATTGACCTGGAGGAATAGCGAGGAATTAGAAACTATGCACTGTATCTTTGAGAGCTGATCATCTACTTCAGGAAACTGGACATGCATTCCTAATAACTTGTCCACTTACACATACATGTTCACACAAGCTTAAATATTATCTGTGAAAGTTTGAAAAATGTCATCCTAGGTGTCATTCAGGAAATCTATTCATCCCATGTGTGTGAAATGGGAACACTGTAATCCCTCAGGCCATTTAAAAAGTAAGATAGAGTATGTGAAGTCACTTTGAAAACTATGAGCTAATAGTTTTCATTGTTATTTAATAATCACTTTTAAATTTTCAGGTGTCGTCATGAAATTTTTTGAAAGTGTGGCCTTGGCCTGGGTCTTTTTCGTCATTGTGCTACATACTTAGGGTGGAGGGGCTTCTAAATCCAGACAATCTGGAATATTTTCTTGTATTTTTTTCTTTGATATTTTCCTTCCCAAAAATTTCTGTTTTCCCTTTCAGTAACTCCAGAAATAGAGATGTTGAATCTCCTGTATTTAGTCACTTACCTCCTGGATTGATTTTCAAATAATCTTATCTCTTTATTCCTATTTTTTATTTTCATATATTTTATTCTCTCTCAGGGAGATTTCCTCACCTTTATCTTCTAACCTTCTATTAATTTGGGGAGAGGGTTGTCTATCAATTTTTATTGCTAAAAGTTTTTCCCTTTTCCTATCATTGCTCCTATTCTTAGAACATCTCTGTTCTTGTTTAATGAAGGCAATATTTTCTCTAAACTCAGGATATCATAGTTTTGTTGAATTTTTCTTCTTGCATTGTTCATTTCTCTGGGGATAATAATAGTAATTCATGGGATTATTGGGAGAATTAAAGGAGCTAATACATCTAAAGATGCTCTATCTTCGTTTACCTCTCCACATCGACTCACTACACTGATCCATCCTTTCATGTGCCTGTGTGATCTACATGTACTTCATCAATGGACTCTCTTGCCTGTAGATACTGGTTTAGTTTGGCCAAAGGGGAGTCCTCACGTGAGGTCAGAGAGAGGGGAAAAAGTAAGGCTGGAGTCTTTATCCCCCCAGCTCTCTCCTAGAATTGCCTTGCGCTGGCTGCAACTCTTGAAGTCACAGCTCCTCTCAAGGAGTCCTCTCTGAGTTCCTGTAACTCTTCCAACCTAGGATGGTAACAGCCCTACTGTCACTAGCCCCAGGATACTGCATTGTCCCTATATCCTGCCCACAACTTTGTATAAAGTCCCTTTATTAAACCCTTTTTGAATTAACCTAATTTGAATACACTGCTGAGCCTGATGAGCCCCTGATACTGGTACCTGACATAATAAACATTATATACCTGTGTTATCATCATCATCATCGTCACTGTTATCATTCCACCATCTGCTTTCTAATTTCATATGTTGTGATTCAAGGATACAAAGATCCTTTGGAACTATCAAAGATGAATTTTGTATTTCTGTTTCTTGTTTTGATGGATTATTTTCTGAGAATAAACATGAAATATCTTTCAAAAACACAGGTGAAAGACGTGTTCAGGAATATAAAAGCTCAAAGAGTTCAGCAGCAGCAGACCAATACTACAAGAAATGTTAAAGGACCTTCTTTTGACAGAAAAAATATGACACCAGATGGAAATATGGATCCATACAACAGAATAAAGAGCACTTAAAGTGCAACTATGAGGAAAAATAGGAAAGGCTTTTTTTATTATTTAAATATCTTTTAAAATAATGAGTTCCAGCCATGATGGGAGTAACAGGGATTAGATTTACCCTCCCACTTGAAACAACCAAAAAAAAGGCAACATATATGAAACTATGATTTTGAAGACACTGGACATCAGGCAATGAAGGACAGTGGCCCCATGAGAAGGGAAACAAATTAGGTGAGCCCTGTGATTGCTCCAGCTTATGGGCTTGAGAGGGTTTTCAGGAGCAGTGCAGGGAGGGGAAACTCAGACTTGACTCCAGTGAACTCCCTGAGTGGAAAAGACATTGCTGAGAGTTCAGGGGGCAAAGGGAGCTATAGTTTACAGGCCAGAAAGGAAAGTGCTTCCTGGAGAGAAAACCTCATGGATCTGCAGAGGGACTCCCTCAGTTACTCAGCTGAGTACTGATCAGTGCACACATATGAAGAAAGTACCCAAGGAAGAAAGCATCCAAAAGGATTAGAGGGAGCTCACACAGTGCTGGGATTGGTGCCTGTTCCCACAAACTATCATAATTGGGTAAAGTACTCAGAAGGATCTAGTTTCAGTGTTGGAGAATAGTTAGTCCTAGAGTAAATACTACTCTGGTTCCACCTAATACAACTTAAAATAAAGACCAAAAAGGATCAAACTATTTCCAAGTAACTTAACTGCATCCTAGAACAAAGCTCAAGAATATTTGTAGGACTACAAAACTATCCAGCACCTAACAGGGTAAAATTCACAGTGCCTGTCATCCAATCAAAGACTATAAGGCATGGAAAGAAGCAGGAAAATGCAACCCATAGTGAGGAGAAAAATATTAAAAAACAATGGAAACCAATCCAGATCTGACACAGATGCTAGAATTAGCAGACAAGAATATTAAAACAGTTATTATAACTATGTTTCATATTTTTAATGTTAAGTAGAGAAATGAAAGATATGGGGAAAATAGACCCAAATCTAACTTCTAGAGATGAAAACTATCCTGTATGAGATGAAAAATACACTGGATGGGAT